CCTTTTTAAAAAGAGATCTAAGTCGCTCTGTTCGAGTGTTTTTTTTCTTTTTATCTGTCTACATTTCTGTTTCAAGTCACAAAATTTTCCCCCCTCAAAGTGTGTCAAGTGCAGGATTTAAAATTAAAAGCTCGAATGTGCATGAAAGCCGTGATATCTCTTCGACATACTGTAAAGCTGATACCCTGCCGAGAGGGATTTGAGCACACGGAGGAGGAGGATTTCTCAGTTTCAGACCTGATAGAAACGTGTCAGATAAAACCGGCGCGTAAGCCGCAGTGTCGAGGCCGGTCATTTGTTCAGGATTACCTGCTGTATGCAACAGACGTGCCAAGGTCAAGACTTTTTATCCTTTTTGTTTCCAGATTCTGCCGATGTGGAGTCTCTGAGTCCGGACAGCTCTGATGAGGAGCATCCGGAGAAGGAGGAGGAGGAGGAGGAAGACGAGGAAGAGAGGCGAACGTCGGGACTGACGAGCATGGAGGAAGCTCTGAGGACGGTGAGCGACGGCGTTTACCACAGTCAGGAGGACTTCCTCAGGCAGAACTTTGAGACGCTGGCAGAAAGCTGCAGCACAGGTAAGACTCACACACCTGTAGCATGAACGTTTTACCAATTTTTTTCAGCCCCTAACTCCCAGAAATGTTGCACACAACCCAGTAGTAGTTGGTCTGTTCAAATGCAGGCATATAAGCCAAACAAAACAATGATTTATTAGTAATTTAATACAGGTTAGTAGCAGAAAACATCAATTAAAGCAACCTCCATGTATAATATAGAATAGAATAGAATAGAATAGAATGCCTTTATTGTCACTATACACATGCACAATGAGATTAAGAGCAGCTCCTTCAATGCAGTATAGAATAAAGTACAAAATAAAGAGCAAAAAAATAAAAAATAGAAGAGATTTTAGTATAAAATGAGATAAGTTATATATACAGTATACAGTATAAGCTATATGTACAGTATGATTTAGAAAAATATTGCACAGCATAATATAATATGTCGTACTGATGAAACATACAGAAAGCAGCTGATTCACTGTTTTTTATTTTAGGCTAAAATACGCAATTTAAGCTTTATTTAATTTCTGAGAATCACCTCATGAGTGTCTCTGGTTTGTTGCCTTCAGGCCGTCATTTCAGAGCAGTCAGGAGGATTTAAAAAAAAAAAAAAACCTCCACGTCTCTTTTATCCTGAGTGCTGCTGAAAAATGCCCAAATGACTTTGGTACATTTGCACATTTCTATTTGAAATGGATGTAGTTGTGTTTCCTGTTTTATTTTGACATTCCCTGTCCTTGTGTGGCTCTTGTTGTTTTACCTCCTCCCTTTGTCCCAGTTTCCCTCCCGACTAGCTTCACATGTGTCTCGTCTCCCCACTCGCTGTTTTAATTGTCATGTGTTGCACGTCTGTTTGCTACCCTCCTGTATTACATGTCCAATTACCTCCCTGTTTGTCTTTGTATTTATTATCTGACTCCTTCTGTCTGCTCCCTGCGCTCCTCATATTTAACCAGGCTTGTGTTTCGCATTTTGGATTTTTTGGCTTTCTTCATCTTCTGAAGTAACTGTAGATGTCTGACGTGTAATTTTTGCCTTCTCAAAACTCTAAATGAAGATATATAGTATGTAAATACACTTTGACCTGCAGATATCTCAAATTAAAGTTTATCGAACTGATCTAAAAAGAATAATTTTGATATTTTGAATTGAGGGGAATTAAGGATATTTTTAAACTACAATTACGAGGCAGAATTCAACTGTAGGTGTCTGAAACTGGAATTACAAACAGTCATAACTCAGATCTCTTTAGTTCAGTTACATCATTGCCACCCTCCACCATAGACACTGACTCTATGTGTCACATTAATATTTATTCAGTAGGATTATTATTTACTCTTTTCAAGTTGTCGACACCTTTAAACNTGCATCTACTAAACCCAACCGACTGCTTCTGGTACTGAGTAGGGCAGCAATGAACGATTGTTTTCATTGCAGATTAATCCGTCAATTAGTTTCTCAATTAACTGCTGGGTCTATAAAATGTCAGAAAATGGTGTGAAATGTCGATCAGTGTGTCCCAAAGCCCAACACAGTGTCCTCAGATGTCTTGTTTCATAGACAACCCAGAGATATGCAGTTTGCTGTTATAAAGGAGGAAACAATATTTGCATTTATGAAGCTGCAATTTGAGTCTTTAGATTTAAAAAAAAAATACTTAAAACAATTAATTGCTTATGAAAATAGCTGGTGATTTAATTTAATAGTAAACAGCAAATTGGTTAATTGTCACAGCTCCACGATGGAGTGCAGCAGAGAAAACAAATTAAATTGAAATGAGAAGTGCAACCGGTAATTATTTTCCAACTTTTCTGTGCAACAGGAGGCTCAGATGAAGGACAGGACTGGGAGCCGACAAAGGTAGGTGGTTACCAAACATTTATATGAAATAACAAACACCTGGAATAGTTTTATGGTTTGAACAAAAAAAAGTCCAAATTTAAACTCCAGTGTTCATTTTTAACTCCACAAAGATGAAAAACGTTTCGTAGCATTAAGCTGTATGTTGTTACCTGTAACTGGTTCTTCTCTTTCCAGCCTGGAGCCGGCAGCCAGGTCGTCCCCGAGCCCTCCAAGCGTCCTCGGAGGCGTTGGTCTCATCGTATGGGCTCCCTGGAGCTGATGGTTAAATCCATGCTGGACCTCAGGCAGCTGGACACCTTCGCTCACAAGAAAAGCCCGAGCTGCCCCTCGCATGACAGAGAGAGAATGAACACGTCCAACGTCCAGGAGCCCACGGTATGCAGGATTTATACGTATACTGTTTTGTGACAATTGATCGAGTGACTGACAATCAAAACAATAAATAGCTTCTTTAGTAATGGAAAAACTTGGTAGCTGAAGCCTTGAAAGTAAAATGGTGAAGACAGAGAGAAAGGCAAGACTATTTATACACTGAGAACTGATTGGGG